TTTATAAGCTGCCTTAAATCCTTAGGAAAGAATATAAGCACATGGTAATGTAAACATCCTCTCTTCAATATCAGACTTCCAGTCATCTCTCAATATCTTTTTTTAAGCTTTATGTATTTTTTTCTTTATTCATGATGGAGTGTGTGCACATACTCCATCATGAATAAAGAGATGAGTATCCTTCACAGGATTTGGACATGCCATGATCCTTTTCTTCCAATCCTCCAACTCATCAGATAGTGGACATGCATATACATGCCCAGTGTGTTTTAGGCTCATCTGGCCAGGAATTCAAACTCGGGTTGCCATGGAGATCCAGTTTCTCTTGAGCAGTGCATGACTGCTGCACCTCAGAGCCAATCCATTATCTTCCAGAGATATTTAAATTTTATCCTTGTCACAATCAATTTTTTTATTAAAAGTATGAATATTACAAACATTGCTTAATTATCTGAACAAAAAATTATCTATTCACCATGCATCTCTGGCATTTTACATATCATGTGACCAAGGCATTGATTGACCTTTGCTCCAGATTATCTTTACAAAGATGATTGTATGACAAAAAGCTCTAGAAGTAAAACTAGTTTCGCTTACAGCCTTGGAAGATGGAAATAATGTTTCCCAATGGAGCAAAAGATAAGCATGTTTACAATCTATTATAAAAGAGTTATTTTCTCTAAACTTAGCATTCCTCTCTTGTAATGCAACCTTTTGCATGTGAAGATGTCATTTTGCCTTCCTTGCATTGCAACCTAGGTATCACCTCTTAGAAAACCAGTACAAGAAAAAGCTAATATTTGTGCTGTCATTATTGCTGTGGGTAATAAGCTGTCCACTGTCTCTGACACTGGAGGCTCACGTGTTCTATCAGCATTCATGAAACCGTATCAGGCTAACTTGTTAGCTCGCAAGCAGGGAAACATATCCGATCCTTCCCTTTGCTAGATAATATATTATAAAGACTTTTTGTGATATACTTGAAAGTCATTTAGCCTAATCTCCCACTCAGTGAGGAATTCCTTCTACATGTCCTGACAGATGGCATTCTAATATCATTTAAATGTTTCCAATAAAAGGAAACTCTTCTCTAAGCCTGTTGCATCATTGGTTATTAAGTCCTTCCTTATGTTGAACTGAACTATTTCTAATATCATAACAACACTGAGTTTTGCATGGATTTATCTGATATTACATAGAATAATTATTCTATTATCCAAATGTAAGTCCTTTGTATTTGAAAGTACTTACTGCATCTCTAATATGCTTTTACTCTCTAAAGATATCTATTTCATTCCATATTCTTCACACACTATGTTTTCCAGACCAATCAAACATTCTAGACATACTCCAACATACAATAGTGATAATTATCACAGATGCTTGGGACTACAGATGAATGCAAAAGACTATATGGGTAATCCATAATTCAGTAAAAATATCCCTTATTTGGAAATAATACCTTCTATTGATTTAACATAAACTTTATGTACAATTTTTGTAGTTCCCATCATATTCTTATATCACATTTACCTTGTGAGTAGTTAAAATATTCAGACACTTCCCACATGATCAAATTCAAACCATGATTTTATTTATAAAACTATTTGGTTTTGTTTTCATTTTTTAGAATTTTGCCATAGGGTACGTTGTTCACTGGAGAGAGACAAAGAAAGGGAAAGTGATAAATCACTCCCCAGGGAGGATGGCCATACTACAATCTCTCCTCCATTCTCTTCTCAGAATTTGGGACATGCAGACACACACACACACACACACACACACACACACACACGGTGTGATTTTTAAGCCACCCAACCTAGGCTCAAGCTGCAGCTCGCAACATTAGGAGTCCAGTGTCTGAACTGCCAAGCCACCTGCTGACCTCATAAAACTGATTTTTTAAAATTTATAACATTTGCTTTTTTGTTTTTAACCAGTCCAGATTATTTCAAATTTTGTTTCTGTCATCAGTGATATTGGTTCCTGGTTAGGTAAAATTTATACCATCTGAAAATTTCATAGACATCCTTCAATTACCTAATCTTAGTCACCAGTGGAAATAATTACCTCAAAAATGTCTAAGGCAAGCCATTATATTTCTTCTTTCATAATAACCCAGACTACACTTGAGTGATATCAACTAGTTAATAATATACTGAATAATGCTATTGTCCGGCACTGATAGTCACGAGAATATCATGCTTTACTGAAATTAAAATATTCCGTATTTCTGGCATTCTCTAGATCTACCAACTATTTCTTTAATAAAAATAAAAAGTGAGCCCTCTATTGGGAAAGTAAAATAAAACTGAAAACTTGTTAGTAGGAAAGTTACCTGTAAACTACAGTTTAACAAGCTGGATTGAAATTGAGGAAATAGCTGATCTGGAAGATCATGCAAAGAGCCAGTTTTTGAAAATGCTCAAAACTCAAGAAGCCGCAAAAGAAAAAGAGCTCTAAAGTGTACCTCCTGGACCTGCTGGAGCGGTTGAGAGTTGTGAAATCTGTCAAGAACAATTTGAACAATACTGGGATGAAGAAGAGGGGGAATGGCATTTTAAAAATGCCAGTAGAGTAGATGGAAAGATTGCCATTCATCAAGTGAAGAAGATGATCAAAATACATCTTCATTGGATTGGACACCATAAAATACATCTTTAAAAGGGTATGTCATTTCCAAAAGCATCAATCAATTACTATAATGAAAGTGTAAACACTAGGCTTTATGACTACCACTAGCGTTTCCTTCCCAAATATCTAACAGAGGCACAGAGTTAATGCTGTCGTAATTACGAGAGAGTCAAAAATAATAGATTGCCAAGTTTCTAAATATTCTTTATATACTCCTTCAAGGTAGAGACTGAATCTGAGTTCTCTTCAGATTACAAAACTGAGCCGCATGCAGTCTGGGGCTGGGTGATGTCACGGTTAACAGACCAGCCTAGTTAACAACTATACCTTTCTCCTCAGTACCACCCACAGCGTTCATTCTTCTCTTGAGTCTAGTCCATTTTTGTCTAAATAACTTGCCTGGATGAGCACACACCCTTAGACAATAGCTCAGCCAATCCAGAACAGTACATCATAGACAAGAAATGTCCAAGACTAGACACATCCATTCAGTAATGATTTCATCCCATCGCGTTCGTAGGTACATACTAAACGTGCATAAGTGAGTGAAGGGTTATAAAGGAAGAGGGATAGTTAGCCATGATGTGGAAGAAAACATCCTGATTGACATTAGAAAACCCAGGACTATCACTGAACTCTGCTCTTAGCCACTCTGACCTATTTTACAGATATTAAATATATAAACACATTTTGTAATCATACTTTCTTCCTGAAGTAATAAAAAGTTTTAGTGGTAGATATTAGTAGTCTTGTCTTAATATCAAAATAACCTGTGTGATGATTTTTAATTTTCCAACATTTTAATGAGAGCTCACCAAAGCAAATGATCTACGGTCTCAGAGAATTAATGCATTCATTCGCAAATCATTAGTCCTAAGGTACCAGTAATATTAACTCATTAACTCAGAGCCCTCTAATTCAGAAATCATCACAGGAGAGGCAGCTAGGTATGATACAAAGTTTTGTGGCTAGAGATGGGGACCACAATAACCTTGAAACAGTTCTTCAACTAACTAGCTGCGTATGATTTTAGAAAGCTCGCTTAACTTCCCTGGTTTCTGTTTGTGTCCAGAGTGAGCTACATTAGGCAATCAATCTAAGCCATCATACAATCCTACAATTCTTCATGGACAGAAAGATGGCATTCTTTTCCTACTTTATTTTTTCTGTAAACAATGGAGTTATTTTAATATGAATTTTTAAAAATCTAGAGTTGATGAACAGCCCTGAGGAGTTCCATGAGTCCCCCAAATTTAGGTAACTATGTTTATGTTCATTTTTTGGATGGAAGTTCAAAGCTTTCAGCTCCATGAACCTTTCCCCCCCCCACCAAAAACAAAGGTTAAGAACCACTTATTTCAATAATGATCTAATTTCGAGTGAGTCTCATCAATTTGTAAGAACAGTGTCGTAAAATGTTATTCAATAACCCTGTGTTGGTTCTGCAATGTGTTTTACCCTTCACCAGTAAGTGTAGTAGAAGCTGCATGTCAAAATGTCCCTCGTGGTTGTCTCCCCACTCAGCAATGGAGCACCAGCTCCCTGTCTAGTTCATCTGCTATGTCAGACGGCTTGAACAATGTCTGGCCACAGCAGGCACTCAGCGAAGCAGAGAAGGGGATCTACCAGCTACCGTCTAGAAGAAGAAGCCCACTGCAACATCATCGTCTCGTCTGGGGTTTGGATGGAGCGTGCAGGACCCAGGACTCCATGAGATCAAGGCACATTCACCAGGCAAGGAAAAACAGTTCATTCCGTCTACAAGCCAAGCCTTGTAACTCCATTCATGAGAAAGTGGAGGCCCAGAGTGAGGAACGGCTTTACCAAAAGTAGCAAGGCCACGACAGGCCCCTCAGCCAATGGTCAGAGCTCCTTCATACGCCGTCCCATCACGCAGTCGGAAGAAGACAGGACTTAATTACAGAATTCAGACAAGAGCGTCACCCGAATTTCAGTTCTTTTCTTGCAACTAACATTCAGCAACTAATAACCTCCTTCATTATTAAAAGGGGAAATACTATAAATAAACTGTGATGTTTGCCTGATTTTTTAACATGGGCGAATAAAATAGCACTGTGTCTTATACGTAACTTAAGTTCAACACCAATTCTCTGTCATTGTTATATCTATAAAAATATTCAGTCCTATAAATGAAATCGCTTTCATGACTCAAACTTAATTCGTTTTTCAGTCACGCCTATTTATTTGTCTTAACTACAACTGCAGGAAGAAAGGGGCTTCCTATCTTAGTATCTTTTAAAGTAGAGAGTATATAAAATTGAACGCACGGGCGTTCATTCCTGTACACTTCTGTAATTGTCTTTGAAAAACGTAATGACATTTGCATGTCTTTTGTCATCCTACAGGAGCATTGTCTTAAACCCAGCCTATTTCCGAAATCATCTTCGCCAGGCGACAGTGTTCAGATGTCTGGAGAGATACTCAGAAGCTGCCCGGTATGTTTGTTATAACTTTTGCAAAGATTTATTTCAAGTTAAATTAATTTTATTCTCAGATTCTGGTAATAGCGTAATAGAACTTTCCATTTCTCTCGTGGAATACGATTTTACCCGAATTATTATCTTATAAATGTCAAACCAACAATTATTGACTATCTTTTTCTTTAATTAAAGCTATTCTGTGTTCATAGCTCTTGGCAAAATTTAAACTTTCCGGCCATGAGGTCACTGATGATGATGGGAAAACTTCCATAGGATATTAGAAATGAACTTGACCTCCTGCTCTTGAGAATGCGCCTGGTCTGGATTGTAATGGCGCCATCTGTAACTCTTTCTTTCTTGAGTTCTGAAGATGAAAGCTACTATATGGAAAGGATTCCAAAAGCCCTTTTTTAGAAGAGATGGTGTCAGGTAATGCCATAGGCTGTTAGAGGTGTCACAGAGTCACTCCTTGGACCCTGATGTGCTCCCTGAAAGCCTAGTGGAGCTGAACAGTAGCACAGGGCTGAGACACAGCTCGCTGCAAGGCAGACCCACAAGAAAACGCTGGGGGGACCAGCAGTTAGTGTAATAGCTATGTCGCTGGACTCCCAGAGAATTAAGCCACCGGTCCCGGACCCGGTGGCTTAAACTCACGCTGGCCATGTGTGCTTGTATGCCCAAGATCCTGAGAGGAGAATGGAGGAGAAGGGATTGCAGCGTGGTCAACCCCCCTGAGGGGTGATTTCTCGCTTTCTATATCTCTGTCTGTCTAGTGAGCGCACGCGCCCTATAGCAAAAAAATCTCTTTAAGAAAGAAAGAAAGAAAGGAAGGAAGGAAGGAAGGAAGGAAGGAAGGAAGGAAGGAAGGAAGGAAGGAAGGAAGGAAACGCTGGGCTCATGTCTGGAGACCTCCCTGAGAACACGGGCACACCTGCGCCCGTGCACTGAGGCTGGCAGAGGCTGGGAGTGGATGACAGCATCAGGGAGGCTGCTGTCTCTCTGCCTCTGTCCGTCTCTCTGTCTTTGCCTCTCTGGTTCATGGAAGAAATAAATAAATGAAAAACAACAAAAGGAAAGCAGCTCCGAATATTCTCAGCCCAGAACCTAAACTTATGGCAAAGAATTGCCCGCATTGTGCCAGCTAAAATTCCTTCTTACCTGTGACAGCCAAGACTTTTTTCTTCCTGGATCAAGCTCATCATAGCAGACTTCTCTTCCCTTTGATTAATTCTCTCAGAGAATTCTCTTCGTCTCCCAGTATAGAAGGACCTGCTATTTTTTACTCAGCCACTTCTCTGTCCCAGGAATTTAACGAGAAAATATTGGCAGTTTCTCGATTTTTCTCTGAGCAGAATTCCCACAGATACAGCTGCAGTCATAGCGATGCAGTACCTAGCCTGCTGGTGACTACCGTCTCCAGACCGTGTGTAAATAATATTTCCTTTCAAATTGGAAGCAAGAGTTTACGTGAATAATAAAATAATTCCATAAAATTGATACCATGGCATTGGCATTAATTCTGTGTAAGAGGGTCCCAAGAATCACCTGAATTTAGTGAAATGATTGTGGAAGACGGTGCATCCCAACCATTCTAACTTTACACGCGAACAACCAACACAGCACAGCATCATTTCAGCTAAGTGTTTATGTCCACTTGGAAAAACGTAAATAGGCCTTTAGGTCTCTTTTCTTGCATTCAATTTTTCAATCTACTATTTCTCCCACATGTTTTGCCTTACAAACTCACCGATCACTTCTCCCTACCTTTATATTTTCTCCACCAAAGCGTCCCTCTGGCCTCCTTCCTGCTCACCCACTTTCTCTAACTGTGTGAATGAGAAAGGATTCAAGAGATGATGACAGGTGTTCGGTGCTGCAGTTCAAGGAGAGGGTTTCTGTAAAGGTCACTAGCGACCAATAAAACTAATAGGTTCAGCATCAACAAATAAAAGCTATCTGCAAAAAGCTCTCCCTAATAGGTTGTTTATTGGTGTGTCTTCAATCCAATTAAAAAAAATCAATAGAAGGCTAGAGCCAGCTTCATGGTGCAGTAGTAATGCACTCTCCGGAGAAGATGGATCCCACATGGCAACCACAGCTCCAATCCCCATCCCAGCAGCCTGGAGCATATGCTGGGAACACGCTCAAGTGCCCAGGATCTGAAGGGCTAGAGAGCTACAGGAGGGGTCATCACAGAGTGATGGGGTCCTGCAGAGGGTGCTCCTCTTTCTCTCTCTCTCTGTCTCTCTCTATCTCACTATCACATGTGTACACATGTACTCAATCATAAATAAAGAAAATATTTATTTTAAAAAGATTGTAGAGGCTAGATACAACTTTATAACTTGATTGCACTAGTAAAAAGCTTTTAGTGGTGGGGCCGGCAGGTGGTGTGGTAGTTAGGACACTGGACTCCCACATGGTCCTCTGCAGTTTGAGTTCCAGACCTAGTGACTTGCTCGCTCTCTCTCTTTCTCTCTCTCTCTCTCATTCTCTCTTTCTCTCTCTCCCTCTCTGTTTCTCTCTAGTTGAATTTTTTAAATAAATTAATTTAATTAAATATATAATTCTTTTTTTTAAAAAAACTTTTAGTAGTATGGTTATACAGACTCTAAAGAACAGATTGTTAAATAATCAGAAATTCAGAGGAAGTTAGTTGCTAGGCTATAGGAGAAATTAGCAATGCTGGGAGAATTTACACAATAAAAATTGGCAAATATTGCGAATTCAGACTTTTTTCATTTCTTGGAAGTGCTGGATTACCAGCATATCATTGGCTATAACTTAATTGTACCAAACCTAATTACCAAAGCCAATATAGTGACAGAAATTCTGTATGGGTCCTAAAACACCCAAATACACAACAAAAACTTGAAAGTTAGAGATTTGTCAGTATTTGCCATACAAAATTAGCATTTAATATTCTGTTATCCTGGCAAGTATATCCCAGCAGTAAGACACAAATACCTTTTTAGTATCATTTAGTGCTTGATTTGCCAATGCTCCTTGAGAAAGTCTCTGATACTTATTAGTTATGCTCATGTTGGCTTTCCAATGAAGAAGCATATACAATTACTATGAAATACAAGTGTTTTTCATCTTGATTCTTTTGGAAACTGTTACCTTTAATTTACAGTAGGAAGTCATCCTGCCCCCATCACCCCAAAGAAAACACTGTTTGAATTGTGGACATGATTATCTAAGTGTCTCTTACCCATAGATTCTAATGCAGACCAGTGCGTGTAAATATAGAGAGCATTCATGTTTGTCAGTAAATGTCTTGGAGATTTGGGTAGTTTGGTTCAAGCGTCTTGCAAACGTATTATATTAAAATTCTTTGGTAAAGCTAACACATCAAGATTATTTCCCCTAGAATGCTAAGTGATCCTGTTTCTGGGATGGGGGAGGATCTAAAAAACTCAAAGAACACCATTATTATGTCTCTTAGGAGATCTTAAACCTTAGTTCCTGAAGAAGTGGATCATCCCATCCAAGATAGAGTATTCCCTGGAAGGTGAATGTCTGATATTTCCCAAGGCTAACCATCTCACCATGAAGGGATTTCTAGTGAACAGGCCAGAAAGATTCCCATGACAGTCCCATAAAAGCCCGGGCTCTCAACTAGAGAGGCTGAGGAAATACTATTCCCTGTAGTTGACCTAAGGATATCAGCCAAGTCTACAGCAATGGGCAAGTCCTTTATTTGGCAGATCAACATCCTTTTGGCAACATTCAACAAGAAGAAAAAGCAAAGGCTAGAAACTAGAAGCTAAATAAAAGCAGGGATACTTTGTTGATTTATGCTCTGTAGGGAATACTGGTCAATCTTGAGTAGACAGCTGGTACTGGTTAAAATGATGAAATCACGTTGTCAAACTAAATTATTATTATACCCAGCCCCAGGAAATAGCTGCTTCTAAGACCTTATCTGAAATATTAAGTGGCCTAGCTCTTTAATATCTCTTTTTTTCTATGTATATAAAAATACCGGTGTTGTTAGCATGTCTTTCTAAAATCTACACCTTCTCAAGTTAGGTGTGCACGTGCACACACACACACATACACACACACATGGACATGTACACCATTTAATGCTTCCATAAGAAAGATGATAATACGAGGGAAAAATCAGAGTCAGAAAACAAGAGATTACTGACTATTTTACCAAGAAATATAATCACACTTAACGATACGAATGGCATAGTGTCTTTCATCTCTGTGTGGTCCTCAACTAGCATGGGGCCTGGGATATATGAAGCACTAATTGGGGGGTTATAAAGTTCACTAGTGTTTGCATCTGTGACTGATAACCATTCAGCTTCGTTCCTAAGGAGACATTGCATGGAATCTAGCCCTGACTGAAATATATACATGCACTAAAGGGTGCACACAGTGAGGCAGGACCATGTGATAGCACGTGTCTCCTCTAATCATGACCCATGAGGCAAAAACAGATGACATTGCCCAGAATCTTTTGTCGTGACTGTCCAGTAGAGAAAGAATCAAACAAGAGGTAAAACTAAAGGAGAAAACACAGCCAAGCATCTGTATCCGTCATGGAGGAAGAATTAGCTGTGCAGTTCCATGTACAAGAATTAGACAGGGGACATTAGAAAGGAATAGCACATGTGAATGCTTACAAAGCCCAGGCCAACGATGTGTGTAGTGGGCCTAGTATCAGATAAAAGAGTGTTCAATGGCTTGCAGTAAACTGAAGACCACCAACTAACGTGACCAGGAACTTACCATTCAAATTAAACGTGTATGGGAGCCAGGGGATGGCATAGCGATTACCTCGCTGGACTCCCATATGACCAGCAATGGTTAGAGTTCCAGACCCAGTGACTTGAAATTCACACTGGACTTGTGTGTGTGTGTGTGTGTGTGTGTATGTGTGTGTGTGTGTGCCCAAGATCCTGAAAGGAGACTGGAGGAGAAGGGATTGTGGTGTGGCCATCTCCCCTGGGGGGTGGAGGGGGTGATTTCTCACTTTCCCTCTGTCTCTGCCTCTCTGT